TAATCTCTACCATAAAATAAACAAGAGAATGGGACTAAATGGATAGCTCTTTCAACAAGCCAGTACATGCACAGTGACCCAGATAGCCTCCTTCTGTGCTGCAGATTGCTGTGGTTGTGCACATACAGTTCTATTAACCTGACTGATAGATCAACCTTACTGGCAGAGATTTCCTGCTGCAGTTGCCAAAGTAACATTCTTTGATGTAATCAAGACTTCTTTCCGGTTTATATCCGCCTCCTATTCTGAATTCAACAGAAATTCTAATTAATTGGCTCCCTCATTGTTATTTGATATGTTCCTGGTACAGGTTAGCTGCTACTTCATTTCCAATACATTATATTCTGTAAAGGACTTTGAGGCATTCATTTTACGGGGAAGATGTTAGATAAATGAAAGTACTTATAGTCTTATTATCAACAACAATTTAGGTTCCTAAATCCACCCCATTCCTTTTTACCATTACGAAGGGATTTATTACTGTTTAAGATAGTATTTAATGTGTTGGATTCATATTCTGAAAGTCTGACAGCACGGTGACTGTGAATTAACTGTGATACTGGTTAGGGATTTATCTTTAAGCTTCTTCTCAATCGTGGCAGGATGCAGCGCTGACAAAATTAAACTGCCTATCCCCAGTGAGAGGGCCAAATCCGAATCTCACGAATACTGAAAGGCATAGTTAACGTGGATGTAAACAGGACTTTCCATTAAACTAGGCCATTAAACTAGGCCTGTGGGCCTAGAGAAGCAGAACACAAAATTGATAAGGCATCAAGCAAAACTGAAGATTTGAAATTTCAAATGATACCCCCCCACCCCACTACGTAGGAAATAAGTAGTATATATATATATATATATAAAAAAGCTGAACAAAAAGGCTCCAGAAACAAACAGAAGATCAAATACTTCAATCTTACTTTGGGGATTTACATAAATTAAGGAGAGTATACTTTTTTCCCCACCACCCACTACCTCCTCCGTGCACCCCCTCAGGCCTCTTCAATCTTCATATCAAATGCCAAGTGCGAGGAGGTCATGGACTTCTTTTCACCTAAAATTCACAACATCCGCCAGGCAGCCTCATCCACCTGCCCCTTGTCACCCACCACCATGCCCTCTCTATCCCCCTCAACCATCATCTGCCCCTACCATCACCCCCATCCTACATTCCTTCCTCCCCATTTCTCCCTCCTCCCTCTCACCAACCATCACCTCCATGAAACCCACCACCTACTGCCTCGACCCCCTCCCCACCATGGGGTCACCCAGCTCCCCCTCCTCTGCCCAATACTGGCTGACGTCATCAACCAGTCCCTCTCCTCCAGATCAGTCCCTGCCCCCCTCAAAACTGCTGTCATCACTCCCCTCCTCAAAAAACTTCCCGAGATCCCTCAAACCCCAGCCACTACCGCCCCATTTCTAACCTGCCCTTCCTCGTAAAAGTCCTAGAACGTGTTGTTGCCAATCAACTTCGCGCACACCTCTCCTCCCACTCCCTCCAGTCCGGTTTCCGCCCTTCCCACAGTACAGAGACTGTGAAAGTCACAAACGACATCCTCTCTATCTGTGACCAAACGGCTTCTCCTCCCGCTCTCACCCGGTTACCTGCGGGGTCCCCCAAGGATCCATTCCTGGCCCCCTCCTCTTTCTGATCTACGTGCTCCCTCTTGGGGATGGTCATCCGCAGACATGGGGTACATTTCCATATGTATGGGGACGACACCCAACTGTACTTTTCCACCTCTCTTTGCGACCCCCCAGTCCCCTGATGTTCTGTCAGGCTGCCTGTCAGACCTCAGGGGCTGGATGAGCGCAAACTTCCTTCAGCTGAATGTTGACAAGATGGAAGCCATACTCTTTGGCTCTCGTCAACGTCTAAAATCTAACGGTTCTCACCTCCTCCACCTACCTGACCTCCCTCTAGAACTCTCGAACCCATGCGCAACCGAGGCATCAGGTTCAACCCCCAATTATCCTTCCTCCTCCACATCCGGTCCCTCACCAGCACTGCCTTCTTCCACCTTCGACATATCGCCCATCTCAGCCAATACCTCACTTCAAAATCCGCTGAAACCCTGGTCCATGCCTTTGTCACCTCTTGGCTGGACTATTCAAACGCCCTCCTTGCCGACCTCCCCTTCACTACCATCCATAAAATCCAGATTATTCAAAACTCTGCCCGCATTCTCACCTGCACCAAACTCCGCTCCCCGATTACCCTCGCCAGACTGCACTGGCTCTCTATCGCAGAGAGGCTCGATTTCAAGATCCTCACCCTTGTCGTCAAATCCCTCCATTCCTCTGCACCCCCAACCTCGCTGACCTCCTCTCTCCTCACAACAGTGCCCATTGCCTTCGTTCCACCGGATCTGGCCTCCTCCTTGTCCCCCAAGTCCTCCGCTCCACCCTCGGTGGCCGTGCCTTCAGCCACTATGCCCCGAGGCTCTGGAACTCCCTTCCTCACTCCCTTCGCCTCGCCCCTTCTCTTCCAACTTTCAGGTCTCTGCTGAAGACCTTTCTTTTCGATCGTGCCTTTGGTCACCTTCCTCCCCCTCCCCCTGGCTCGGTCCCGGGATCCGTTACTGTGAAGCACTCTGAGATGCCGTCCAGCGTGGAGGGTGCTATATAAATCCAAGTTGTTTTTGTTATACAATTTCCTGGATGGCTGAGACTTCAGGTGCAATTCACAGAATCCAATTTCAAAACAAGTGCATTTAGAACCAATATCTCCAGAATTGTCAAACGCGGCTGTATTTGGGCAAAGTGAACCTCTGCTCCTCCCTGAGACTCGAGTTGCTTTGAACTACGTGCTAGTCACAAAATGCATTTTAGTCATCAGTCTGCCTATACAAACCACAGACAAATAATTTGGACAAATATAAAGGTTTAGGATCTCTTCAGCCAGACCATGGGATATAAAAATATATACAAATTGAAACAACACTGCTAGGTAGCAAAACCATTTTATACATCTATTTACATGAAGAATGATGCCCAGATTAAATAGTTGTCTGTTCACTATGTTGGATTCAATTGAACAAGATATCCTGCATGGTTTGCATGTAAATCAAACTGGTTTAGTTTGCCCTATTTGTGTTTATTCATTTCGCACTACATCCATTTAACCTCTGTAACCCTCACTCAGGTTCGAAACAGGATTCCTATAAGGTAAATGAGGCTGCTGTTTTAGGTATTAGCATTGCGTTTCGAAAAAAATGTATTCATTTTGAAGTACTGTATTATAAAGAATGAGAATGCATTTTTGTAAGATCTGCTAAATAAAAACAAAAACAGGAAGACTGCTGGGAGTGGCTTAGATGTGCAGCATAATACAAGAGAATGCAATGTTAATGATTTAGAATTCAGTCCCGTTGTAATTTAACTGATTACCTTTTAACAGCATTGTAAAAATATAGCTACCAAATCATGATCTTCAGTGTATGCTTGAATTAACTGATCACACCCAGTGCAGCACTGGGAACTATAATTGGCTACAGTGCTCCTGGACCAGAAAGGGGAAAATAAACCAGTCTCCCCACTTCTGAATTCTTCCTCGTTGCTCGTTCTTTGAATATGCACACTGAATTTTGGATCAGATCAGGATAGGTTGCAGTGGACATTCATATTTCCAAATATATAATTACACATTACAGTATGTTCACTATGTTGGATTCAATTGAACAAGATATCCTGCATGGTTTGCATGTAAATCAAACTGGTTTAGTTTGCCTCGCATAACATTTTATGCAGATCATTAATATGATTCATACATGTTGTGTTTCAGATAGTTGTGAATATCATATAACCTTATTGTTCGTATTTACTCCATTTATCTGAGGGAGCCATCAGTGTACAGGTTGAAATAGATTTTTCTCCATCCCACCTCAAGTCCCTCTGTACTCCTTCAGTTGGCACATTTACAGCACACCTGCTCATTGCAGTTATATACTTAGATAGGGCAGAGACAATCTTTTGAAGTAAGTAACAAGCAATATACAAAGCAATCAGTACTTTTTGTTCTCCTAAGAATATCATTAACGTTGTAATAGAACATTCATTCTCATTGTGTACCATTTTCCAACACTTCGTTCCAACACAAGTCATAGAAATAATAACATGGCGTGACAATAACTTTATAACCATCATTTCAACACAGAGGTGAGACTGCAGCCTTGAAATTACTCCAGGATTTATAACTTAGAATGTATGCAATGTGTCTTCCAAAGAACTATTTTCATCCCACATACGAACACATTAGAATCAGTTTGCTATTTATAGAAAGGCCTTCAACTACACTTGTGCATTGAAGAAAAATAGCTTATTAAAAAAATCCCCCAAAACACACAGCTACCAATGAAATCTCTTCCTCTAGACACAGCTATGAGGGCGAGGGAGGGAAAGAGAGTGACCGAAGGCACGATCGAAGAGTAGGTGTTGAAGGAGGCAAGGGAAGGGACGAGGCGGAGGTTCTGAGGGATGGAGTTCCAGAGGGTGGGGGTAGAGTGGCTGAAGGCCCGCCAATTGTGGAGCGGGTGAGGTGGGGGACATGAAGTAAGCCAGAACATGTTGAGTGAAGGGAGCGGGCAGGTTGGTAGGGGGATAGATAGGGGCTCACAGAGGTAGGGGGAGCAAGGCCATGGAGGGCTTTGAAAGTGAGGACCCGGTTCTTGAACTGTATCATCTGTGTGATGGGAAGCCAGTTGAGTCAGGAGAGGATCGGGTTGATAGGATTTTGGAGTCTGGTGCAGGAGAGTACATGGGCTGCAGAGTTCTGTATGATCTGCAGCCTACGGAGGGAGGAGTTGGGGAGGTCGACAAGCAGGGAGTTTGTGTAGTCGAGCCTGGATGTTATGACTACAATAATACTTGAAATAAATGATTATCTAAATCAGGTTAACTTCCAGAAGCAAAGTAAGGGATTCTGAATATATTATACAGAATATAATGAATATATTATATAGAATTAAGATGAATATAATATACAGAAGCATACTTACCAGATACATCATACCAATAAGCTCCATTAGTGATCCCATCGACAAAAGATTCAGAAGAATCACAATTCGGTTTGCCAGTTTTCATCAATGGGTGATTGGAGGCGTAGCTCTTTGCCAGGTATTTAAACACCTCGTCGTCGGGGGACTTGCTGTAATATCCATTCAGCACGTGATTTACAGAATCATCATAAGGATAACTGGCCACCACAGAGCCACCATGGAAATTCCCAGAAAGAACAAACCTGTTTTCTACATGAACATTAAACATTTTTTTAAAAAAGATTAATGGATGCAAACAAGTGCGCATAGAAATCATTAAGCACTACCCTGGAGCCAAACAAAGTAACCTATCGCCTTACCCAATCATTCCGATTCAACTCTCCAATACCAACAGGCATTTCTATTTCAACTTTCCGTTGGCAACTAGCTCATCGCTGATCAAATCTGGGATCACATCCAGGCAAATCAAAGCGGACTCCCTAGCAGTTGGCAGTAGGACTCCAGGCAGTTGGAGTCTTCAGTACATGGCACCAAATACTGCTGTATTACATTACTGCATATACTTGTGAAAACAGGTGCAAGGAAGAAAGGCAGCCTTTGGAGGTTTTCCAGGATATAGAAAATAGATACGGCTATCAGGTCACGCTTATTTCTAAAGAAGGTAATTTGAGAAGGTATTTTTAATTCTCACCACTAATTTTCTCCCTTTGTCATTGTTCCTGGAGAACACTAGGGACAAGTTTTGGCGAGTGCCAAGACTTGGGGACCCCCGGGGTGTTCGCTGAGGGCGCCGCTGGAGTTTACTAACGATAGCATTGAGGGAGCGCTGTCCGCTTAAGAGCACCCATTGGGCTTTCCTTTGGCTCGCAAGGACAGCGGCTGGCTCGTCCCTCCAAGCAAACCCTGCGGTCCACAGAGCGTAGGCGGCCACAGCGCGGATCTCGGGTAAAGTGAGCGGCTTCTTTTTTAAGAAAAGAAGTTAGCTTCCTAGTTTCAAAGAGTTACGCAACTTCAAAGGAAAAGGAAGTTTGGAGGCGCAGACACAGAAGGAACCTGGCAATGGGCCGACCCTTATTTGCAATATCCCCTTCCCAACCCCACCCCCCCCCCCCCCCCCAAAAAAAAAGAAACACTTGTCTGGCTGTTTTTTTGGAATGAGAGAGGGGAGCAAACCCCCTTCTCCCCCCAACCACCCCACAGCCCCTTCCCCCCCCACCACCCCCTTCCCCCCCACACCCCCTTCCCCCCCACACCCCCTTCCCCACTCCACACCCCCTTCCCCACCCCACACCCCCTTCCCCCCCACCTCACACCCGCTTCCCCCCCACCCCCACACCCCCCCCCAAAAAAAAAAAAATCCTGCCCCACCTTTGATCCACTCCTTCATCGCCTTCACTTCGGGGACGTCCTCCGGTTTCCCCTCGGGGTCGCCGGCGAACTGATCGGGGAAGCTCCGGTTCAGGTCCCGGTTGCCGCTGTTGTTGCGGCCGCCGCTCGCGCCGTCGCAGTCGCCCTCCACCGACTTCTCGAAGCCGTCCGGGTTCAGGCTGGGCACGATGTAGATGTCGGTGCCGTTGACCAGCCGGCTCACCCGCTCGTCCGGCCCGTAGCGGCCGAGCAGGTACTCGATCAGGTAGACCAGCACCTGGCGGGACACCGTCTCGTCGCCGTGCATGTTGCCCACGTACTTGCACTTGGGCTTCCCGGCCACCCGCAGGCCCGGCGCGCTGGAGATCTCCATCACCCACAGCGACCTGTTCTGCACGCTCCGGCCGATGCTGAAGAGCCTGGCGATCGACGAGTGCTCGTCGGCCAAGCGCCTCAGCAGCGCCGTCAGCTCGTCGTACGAGTGGTACTTCGACGTGTCGATGGCCCCCCCCCCTCCTCCTCGGCCGCCGCCTTCTCCTCCGCCGCCTCGACGCTCGCCGTCAACGCCGAGGCGAAAGCCAACAGGCACAGGGACAGAGCCGCCGCCGCCGCTCCTCCGAGCCCGAGCCGCCGCCGATGCCCGCTCGCCATCTTCAGCCTTCGAGAACCTTCCCTCCTCAGAAGCACTCGCTCCGTCCGTCCGTTAACCGTCACCTCACCGCTCAACCGCCGCGCGCGCACCCGTCCACTCCCCGGTGACTGACTGTCTGACTTGACTGACTATAACTGTCGCTCTCTCTCTCTCACACACACACACACACGCACGCACGCGCGCGCGCGCACACACACAGAACCGGCTCAACCAAACCTGCTGCCGGCCGCGGCGCTGATTGGCAGCCCGCCCCGACCACTCAGCGCCCGACCTCCCGCCAGCCGGCGGGCGGCTGGTCAAATCGGCACGCAGAAAGGGCGAGGAGGCGGGGCTTGCGAGCGCGGGGCCGTCGCGTTGGGGTTACGTACGTGGCCCCGCCCCTCTCCCCCCCTCCCCCCCAACCTCCTCCGTGACGTCGTTATGTCAGCCCGGGCGGTGACGTCACGGCGGCCCGTGGTTCGATGGGGCGCTTTGTTGTTGTTGTTGTTGTTGTACTATGTCATCATAATAATCATCATCATCATTATCCTCCTCCTCCTCCTCCTCGCGCTTGATACGGCGCCTTATCGCGCGGCCGAGCCGTCTCTCCAAGCGCTTCACAGGGTGTACTGTAAAGTGTAGTGACTGTGTATTTCGTGGGCGAAACGCGGCCGCGCGCAGCAGCCACGACGACGACGACGACGACGACAACAACAACGCAATGACACGTGTAAAGAGCCTTTCACCTCGGGAGGACACCCCAAGGCGCCGGACGGACAGACACGGACCCGAGCTGGGGTGGGGGTGGGGGTGTGGGGGGTGGGGATCGGGGTGGGGGAAGGTGGAGGGCGGAGCGAGGGGGGGAGGGAAGCGGGGTGACCGAAAGCACGGTCGGAGAGGAGGGTGTTGAGGTGGGTCTTGAAGGTGGCGAGGGAGTTGGGGGGGGGGGGGAGGGGGTGAGATGGAGGGACTGCGGGATGGAGTTCCAGAGGGTGGGGGGGGCCGAGTGGCCAGAGAGTGGCCGATAGTGGGGCGAGCGAGGCGGGGGACGTGGAGCAAGCCGGCGCCCGCTGAGCGGAGGGAGCGAACGAGGTGGTAAGGGGCTTAGGAGGTCGGAGAGGTAGGGGGACGTCTCGCAAACCGTCATGGATTGAAGTGACCAGATTTCTACTTCGTTTTCTTTTTAAGGGATTATTACCCCCACCCCCTTCCCCTGGGAAAAGCGAGTGACAATTTACCGCTGGGTAAACAGAGGCGCGTGGGGTAAGGAAACTTGCTCATTGGTGCTTCACAGGACATGACAGTGTTTTGTAGGCTCATTTAAATCCAAAAAGGATCACGGCCAAAAAAAAAGGTACAATACAAGTTTTCTCCATGTTACATATTGCCCCAGTTAATATGGATGAGATAACACTTACATTTTTGTCTCTTTTCGATGGGTTTCGAGGCTCTGAAACAATTTTGTATTAAGGCGCTGTTAAAGTGTCGAGTCCGAAGACTGATGTGAGGACAAAAAAAAGTAAGAGCTATTCTGCTCCAGCATTGCTGGGAAGGAAACTCTGGATTCAAACTATATAATATTCTTTATTAGTTACACACTGCAATCCAATCTATGATGGAATGTAAATGATAATTATTTGACTTAGATTGGTTTGTACGTTGCGAGCAGCACTTTATTCTCTGTGAAACACCGGCTGGCAGGCATGCAGTATTCTGACTTTACAATGCTTATTCTCTTAGCTATTTTCTCTTTTCTATCAGTGTCAGGTTCCTCTGTGGCTGCCCTACCCCCCGTGGTTGGATAGCCTGCTAAGGTCACATATGAAGAATGGCCTCTTGGGTGAGGACCAGAGGTCAGCTGGCACCAATGAATCCATATCCCAACATGAGCCAGCGCTTGAGGAGAAGAAAAGAAAACCTTTAAAGGCTCCTACATAATGCAGCTCTGTATGACCCCGGCTTCACACTGTGTCTGTGAGCCGAAACTCAAGCAACTTACGTTTTCCTGCTGCAGTTCGAATAAAGCCATGATCTGACTGATGCAGGGACACCAAGCAGACGTCAGCAAACATTCACAAAGCGCTGACAAACTAAGAATTAGAACCGACCGTGGAACAATATTCAGCAGCAGTTCTCTGGGCTTGTGATAAAACACAACTCCCACATGAAGCCAAGTTAGTCATTTCACTTCAGTGGCCGTTTGTGGGACACGGGCTGTTGGCAAATTGGCTGCCACATTTGACGCCAAAATAAAATCACTTCACCTTACAATAAATCCTGCCAGACATCCTCCTGATGTGAAAGGCTCGCTACCAAATCCGTGCGTTTATTATATTATTATATTCCAATTGAATAGCACTCCGCACTAATTGAGTTTCTTTATCTTTCAACAAAGGGTAACAGTGTAGTCTATGAGACGGACCAGCAGGGGGAGGAATTGAAGTTATAATTCATGAGGGTGTGTGAGAGAGTTACCCAGATGGGGGAAAACTGCAAGATCTCTGCAAAGGTTTATTGATGGGCTTAAATCACAATAGTAAGAATCGATTGGCTTTCTTCATCCATCGTAAAGCATCAAAATTCAATATTTGGTAAAGCGGTGGGTATTAAAAATATCACATTGCTTGGTGACCAAACTTGCAAAGTAAATTGAATCATTACCTACTGAAAGTGATCACAAGAATCGGTCACCTGTGCTCAAAGGAATTCAGTTAACTAAACAGCGAGGGTTCTGTGGAGACCTGTAGCGTATTGGTTAGAGAACTTGCCTTGCGAACGAGAGGACCCAGTTTGATTCCCGGTTGGGGCAAAACCTTAGGCAAGTTTCCTTACTCCACATGCCTCGGTTTACCTAGCAGTAAGTAACAACCTGGCTGTTCGTCGATTGGTGGGTAGCTTTCTGGGGGTAATAATCCTTTTTAAAAAAATCCACGACCGTTTGTGGTAAACTGCTGTGCGCAATTGGCTGCCGCATTTCACCCAAAATATACAGTGAATGCACTTTACAACAACAACAAGATTGCATTTATAGAGCGCCTTTCACGTCGGGAGGACGTCCCAAGGCGCTGGACAGTTGGGTCGGGACCCGAGCAGGGGGGAAATGGTCAGGATGAGGGGAGGGAAGGGAGGGAGCGAGGAGGGGGTAGAGAGTCGAGAGGGGAGGCGAAGGCACGGTTGAAGAGATATATTGTGTTATATATATTACAGTATATGTGAAGCGCTTTGAGGCGTCTCGAAGATATGATATCAAATGCAAGGATTATAATTATTATTATTGTTATTGGAGATGGTAACAAGCTGGTTGGCGTGCCCGATTATCAGTCAGGATTTGGCCACGATGCAGTTTGCAAGGTGTTTGAAGCTGATACTCAGAAACAGGGGCGAGTCACTAAGACTAAAAAAATTTACTCCTCCAATGACAAAATATGGTGCTTGTGCTTTTTCCCCTTGCTCGATGTCCCAACAACAACTGTTTACAGTCTATTAATGCCATGCGTGGAGTCCTGAAGCTCAGTGGTTAGAGCACTCGCTTTGCAAGTGAGAGACCTGAGTTCAATTCCAGGCAGGTCAGGGCGAAACCTTGGGCAAGTTTCCTTACTCCACACAGAGCCTAATAACAACCCCTCCAAAAAACCAAAAACAATAATAAAATTGGTCATTTTTAATCTACGACTGTTTGTGGGACATTGCTGTGCGCAATTGGCTGCCGCGTTCGCCCACAGATATACAGTCAATTCACTTTACAGTGTGTTCTGTGAAGCGCTTTGGGACGTCCTCCCGACGTGAAAAGCGCTATATCAAATGCAAGGATTATTATTATTATTATGATGCGAACAGGTTCCTTTTTTAACCTTTTCCTGTTTGTTTATAGTTCTTTTTAACCTACATAGGGCCTTTCCCAGTCCACCATTTCGGTTCTAAATGCAATGCAATGTCCTAAACTCAATCTGTCTCTTTTTTATTCTTCATTGGCCTGCCGTGATTTTCCAGCTTGTAGGTTAAAACATAATGATCATCACATTTGATCTATAAACTTTCGCACCAGGAGGGTATCTCAAATTTTTTTTCACACGATTTACAGTAAAGTGCAGTAACTATATTGTAGGCTTTAACTCAAATATTTAGAAATAATAAAAATAATGCTTGCATTTGATATAGTGCCTTATCACCTGGTTGAGCTGTCTCAAAGCGCTTCACAGAATATATTGTAAAGTGAATTGACTGTATATGTTGTGGGTGAAACACCGAAGCCAGTTGCGCGCAACCTATGAAGTGGTTTGAGACAACGTGCAAAATGATAAGGTTTACTATATTATTATGATTGGGCATTTATAAATAAACTACCTGTTCCAGGACACACACATATGGCATTGGGGTGACTGACTGAACTAAAGTTAGGGACTTGAGTTAGATTTCGATTCATTTAGTTCTGCAGATATCTTTTATGAATACTAGAAACAAAAATCTCTGAACAAACAACTCAAGCTATTTGAAGTCTTTAAACTGGATGTTAAAGTCATAAAGTTTGCATTTCTATCTGAAGTCGAGTTGAAAATCTGTATGTGGGCATTTCACTTATCCCAGCACGTATAAAGCTTCTGTAACTTGACAGTTTGTGGGTTTTATTTCGCTGTGTTGATAGCTGGCAAGCACATTGAAATTTAACCCTTGCACAACTTGCCATCCACATAACATTAATTTTGAATTCTTCACAAGCTTTATTTTCGGGGAAAATACTTAGTGGTCCATCTCAGTTAAATAACGTTATGGAATTTGCACACTTTAAATTCATCTCTGCGGACAGGAGTTGATTTGGTTGAAGTGCTAGGCACCGGTTAGATTTGGCACCAGTTAGGATATAGTTAACCATTTCTCGAGGTTATGCTTAAGAAACCCCCCATCCTAAAGGAAGTATTAATACCAAGATAACATGAATAGATTGCATCTTCTAAGAATGAATGTACACTATAACAATATAAATTATTTGGAACTTAATTCTATTGCACCTCTGAACCTTAATGTGTGTCCGGTAAAGCTTGTGAGTGTCCAGAGGACATATCATACAATGGTCCTGTAGCTCAGTGGTTAGAGCACTCGCTTTGCTGGCGAGAGACCGGGGTTCGATTCCCGGCAGGGTGAAATGTTGAGCAAGTTTTCTTACTCCACATACCTCTGTTTACCTACTGCAGTAAGTAGGAACCCGGTTGGCAGATTGCTTTTCCGGGGGTAATCCTCAAAAAAAATTAGTCATTCAATCTTTGTGCGACACTGCTTTGTGCAATTGGCTGCTGTATTTCTCCCACAAATATACAGACAATTCACTTCAGTGTATTCCGTGAAGCGCTTTGAGCCGTCTCGAAGACGTGAAAAGCTCTGTATCAAATGCAATGATTATTATTGCAATTTATTATTATGGTAATCTTCCATTAGATATAGCTTTGTATAGAGTTGTTCATAAACTAACTGCATTTAATACTGGCCTAGGTTATCATTTAATGCTAACTTAGTAATCATAAAATCCTCATGTGTACTATTGACACCAAAAGGGACAGAACGACTGTTGAGTCAGATACATATTGGGCACTATAATTTATAAAACAAACATCTCCTTCAAATCAACAACAATGTGCATTTATATAGCACCGTTCGGGCGGGTTAGCATCCTGGAGCGCTGTACAGTGGCGGAATCTGATAAATCAGCCGCCTCACTTTATTAAGTAATCATCACAATGGTTACTGTGAAAAACCTACTTGTGGTTTGTTGTGACCAGCACAATCGTATGACCACTTCTGGTTATTTTCACTTGATGGGTAATGAGCCAAAATCATTACAGAGTTGCAAATTGGTTCATTGCCGAGAAAGATACTAAGGCAAGAGATTCCTCTTTCTCACTAGAAAGGGACAAACAACAATTTGGATCTCTATAACACCGTTCATGTGGGGCAGGATCTCTGAAGCTCTATGTCGAGGCAGTGTAGGACACTGAGCAGGAGGTGAGAGCAGAAGATTGAAAGGTTCTAAAATAGCCTCCTATCCTTTCTTTCCTGCCAATGGAGCCAGTTTGACCTCCCTCCTCTGACCACTACTTCTAGGTATTTTCGTAAATACAAAACTAAATATGGGGCCTACTCCATCGTGTACATTACCTTTCATTACCACATCCCTGGACTTTCAACTTCTCCTCACCAGCATTCTCATTGTTTCAATACTTCGACACTGCTGTGCGCAATTGGCTCCCATGATTCACCCACAAAATACACAGTCAATTCACTTTACAATATATCCTATGACGCGCTTTGAGATGTCTTGAAGATGTGATAAGGCGCTATATCAACTGCAAGGATTATTATATTTCTTTTAGAACTACCACTACCATCATCATATGATGCAATAATCCATTTAACGCAAGTCATTTTCCCAGTCTTTTCTCCATAGCAATATTTTGGTAATTGCCCAAAATTACAGTACTTTTACTACCGACAGTTAATAAGGATTATTCACACCAGTAATGATTTTATTGCCTAGTTAATTTTAACTACCCGACAGCTGCCTGTATGATCTTATGGGGCTTGTTTCAACTAAAAATTGCTTCTGACGATGCTTATCGAATACTTTCTGAAAGCCATAATTATTTAAGGTCAACCACTTTGCCTTCGCCCTCAACAATTCCAGGAAAAGGATTGGCGATTACCTACTGTTTGCTATAAAAATGAAAGTATTCTGCTTATAATGCCTGCATTTGACATAGTGTCAATGCCGTCAAAATGTCTCAAAGCACCTTGTATATAATTATAATAATAATCCTTGCATTTGAGTCTTATCACATCGTTGAGATGTTTCAGAGTGCTTCACAGGATATGCTTTAAAGTGGTGTAACCGTGTGTATTGTGGGCAAGCACAGCAGCCAGTTTACGCACAACAATGCCCCGCAAACAGCCATGGGATGAATGCCCAATTTTATTTTGGGGGGAGTGGAGGGGTTTTATTGAGGGGTAGGGGGGTAAAAAGTAATGTCTGGTCCAAAACCAAAGTTCCGTGAAGGTGAGTTTCTGCAAAGGAGGAGATGTAAATAATAATAATAATCCTTGCATCACATCTTCGAGACGTCTCAAAGTGCTTCACAGAATATAGTGCAAAGTGAATTGACTATATTTTGTGGGCGAAACGCGACAGCCAATTGCGCACAGGAGTGTCCCACAAACAGCCGTGGATTGAAGTGACCAATTTATCATTATTTATTAAATATCCCACTTGGGGAGGCCGGAGCAGATAATGAGGCCAAGAATGTCAGTATATGAAGAAATAAGTGAGGAACCATCAAAGGTGAGCTGTTGAGTAATCTAAGGAATGTGAGGAAAGTAAATCTTCGAAGAATTGAAAGAGACAAGATGTTAATTGGGCCATCAAGGGTTAGGCAAGAGATTAAAGTTTAGTGTTCCCACTTATTCCATGTGACAGTGTAAATACTGTGATATTATGGCTATAGTCTCAAGGATTATATAATGCAGAGCTCAAGAAGTTACAAAAAAATTAATACATTTCCAGGTCTTCTTTTATACGCACATAATAATAATTATAATCCTTGCATTTGATATAGCGCTTTTCACGTCGAGAGGACGTCCCAAAGCGCTTCACAGAACACACTGTAAAGTGAATTGACTGTATATTTGTGGGCGAACACAGCAGCCAATTGCGCACAGCAATGTCCCACAAACAGTCGTAGATTGAAAATGACCAATTTATTATTGTTTTTGGTTTTGGAGGGATTATTATTAGGCTCTGTGTGGAGTAAGGAAACTTGCCCAAGGTTTCGCCCTCTGCCTGGAATTGAACTCAGGTCTCTCGCTTGCAAAGCGAGTGCTCTAACCACTGAGCTACAGGACTCCACATGTATGGATACTCAATTCAGGAATGAATTCACTCAAGCCAGCAACAATCATTACTTATTTTATTAACCAATACAGTGAGTAAGGCAACATTCAATGCAGGTTACAAGGCATGAAACATGCAGGAAGACAAGGCAGCAACGATACTAGAAAAAATTATTTTATCTGCTCCTAATGACCACAGGCAGCTAAAGTGGTTTTCATCTCAGTGCATACCACAAAATTGTGGACGTTGCTCATTTGAGCAACTCTTAAAAAATACTGACTGAATCTTCATTGCATAATGTCGGTGGAGGTGAGACAAGCTTAGAGCTGGCTTTTACACTGCCGTGGCGCTGGCATTAACTGTAACTGCACCAACCCAAACTACTAACTTTTAACATCTCATCCAAAGTATGGCATTCCCATCAATGAGGCACTCCTGCAACACTGTATTGGAGGTTCAGTCTCGACTATACGAGTTCAAACTCCCGACTTGGGGCTTGAACCTAGAACCGTTCCGATTCAGAGGCGAGAGCCCTACCTGATCAGCCAGGCCAACACTGTTGAATTCTTCGTCTTAACTTTGAAGCCAGTTTTCCTGACGCTTTCACATCAGTCGGTGCCCGGTTTCAAAATTCGGACTATTTAAGAATTTGCCAAACTCTTAAGATGAGATGTTACATTAATGCCCGGAATATGAAGGAATTACTGAAGGAATACATACAATCATGTTTAGCTCACACCTACTACGCTGTTGCAGTATGTGTGTACCTGCAATTCAAAGGAAGTACAGCCACACAAACATTCTAGCTAACACCGTGACTTAGAAACGATCACATAAAGAAAAAGCACCTTTTCAACAATGAATCAGAAACAACAACAACAACAACATCAAAATTATCACCGTTTTTAAAGACCTTTTAAAGCATTGACAAATGACAGACAGCGGCCAGATGTTGAGGAGTCAAGCCTAGAGTGGTTTAAACACAAAATGGGCTCAGTTTCCTCAGTCCGAGCCTTTGGAGAACTTTCAAGGGCCTTGTACGCTTCCATACATACATTCTGCAACAAACAATAAAGATAAACTCAGTTTAAAAGGTGTTGCAATTACTTTTTGCCCTCTGCAAAACGTGTGGGGCAAAAATCCCATTGGTCCTTTGTTTCACTCTTGTTAATGCAGAATTTCAGAGTGTTCAGAATTGTTCATAACAATAAACCTTGCATTTCACACAGTTTCACCTCGGGAGGGATATTTCCAAGTGCTTCACTGCATGTTCAACTGGTGCAGTCCTACTACTGGTTAGGGCTTTGGCAAGCCTGAGAAGATGCCTTACTTTTTGCCTTTGGATTACTGAGGTTTTATAATAATCCTATATATTAATCCTTGCATTTGATATAGCGCCTTATCAAGTCTTCAAGGTGTCTCAAAGCACTTCACAGAATATACTGTAAAGTGAATTGGCTGTATATTTTGTGAGAGAAACGCGGCAGCCAATTGCGCACAGCATCGTGCCACAAACAGTCATGGACTGAGTGAGCAAACCACTATTATTTATCTTTTTTGGAAGGGATTATTATCCTTGGAAAAGCGATACATCAATCGATTAACAACCTGGTTCTTACTTACTGCTAGGTAAACAGAGATGTGTGAAGGAAGGAAATTTGCCTTACATTTTGCCGTGCCCAGGAATCGAATTCGGGTCGTCTTGCTTGCGAAGGGAGTGCTCTAACCGCTACGCTACAGGTTTGCTAAACTTGGGAACTGGTTCAGCGAAGGAGGAATGTAATACTACTTGAGTTATCTTCTATAAGCTTTTGTTTCTGTTTTATAGAGCTGTATGGCTTTGATAAGTGATGAAAGCATTAAACAGTTAATTGCTGACAAGTGTAGAGACTGAGAAAGAAGCAGATATTGCTTTGTAAAGCAAGCCCTGTGCCACCCACACAGGAAGCAAGCAGCAGTTCAAAACCATTTGACCGCTGAAGGCTCACGGTGACTATCTCACGGTGACCTTGTTGCACTACAAAGTAGTTACTTAAAAGGCGTGCTATAGTTTGTTGTGAAAGAAAATTGGACAATTACAGTCCAGCCTGGCCCGGCCCAGCCTTGCAATGTCCTTTCCACTGTATAAATGTGAATTTGTATTATATAATTTGTATTCTCAGCGCAGCATTGAGCTCTTTCTTAAATGAAGCCAGGTGTCCTGGCCTCAACCACATTTCCACACAAGTTGTTCTAGTCATTAGACTTGTGGAGTACTGTATCATATTGTTTAGAGCATTCGCCTTGCGAGCGAGAGGACCTGGGTTTGATTCCCAGCAGGGTAAAACGTTGGGCAAGTTTCCGTACTCCACACGCCTCTGTTTACCTAGCAGTGAGTAGGAACCCAGTTGTTAGTTGATTGGCAGATTGCTTTATGGGTAGCAATAATCCCTTAAAATAAAATAATAATTTGGTCATTTATTCTACGACTGTTTGTGAGACACTCCTGTACACAATTGGCTGCCGCGTTTCACCCACAAAATTTACAGTCAATTCACTTTGCAGGATATTGTGTGAAGCGCTTTGAGACATCTTGATTATTATTATTACACTCCTGGCAAAGAAATACTTTCTGATGTCTTTCCTGAAATTGCCTGACATTGTGGGGCAGGAGGTAAACTGGTGAGAGCTGATTTCTTAGCAGCAAATTACACAGACACTCGGGAGCTCATATTGCAGCGATTGTGTGGCGGGGAAAGAGATTTTGAGAAAGGAAAGAATTACTCATAGTTTCAGTGAAACTTTCATCATATAACAGCTGTCACACCTGAAAGAAGCGTTGGTAGTAACACTGTGAAATAGCGTGGGTGCGCATGGAAGGAGGCCATTTGACCCATGGAGTCTGCATCAGCTCTCAGAGCAAGTCCCAGCTCTCAGAACAAGGCAACTGGCTTTTAAAAGCCTTAATAATAATAATAATCCTTGCATTTGATATAGCGCTTTTCACGTCGGGAGGACGTCCCAAAGCGCTTCACAGAATAGACTGTAAAGTGAATTGACTGTATATTTGTGGGCCAACGCGGCAACCAATTGCGCACAGCAATGTCCCACACACAGTCGTAGATTGAAAATGACCAATTTATTATTGTTTTGTTTTTGGAGGGATTATTATTAGGCTCTGTGTGGAGTAAGGAAACTTGCCCAAGGTTTCGCCCTCTGCCTGGAATTGAACTCAGGTCTCTCGCTTGCAAAGCGAGTGCTCTAACCACTGAGCTACAGGACTCCACGCCTTGTGCGCAACAAGTTCACTCTGCTTGTTACATGTTCAGGCTATCAAAACTAGCTTTCCACCTTGAATGCTACCACATTGACTGACGATATAAATGCTACATAAATGCAATTTGTTGTTGTCGATCCGTGTGAGAGCAATGCTGTCTCTCCAGTGTGTATATGTGATTGGTTTGGTACGATATTTGACCGCCTGACCTACCTGTTACCCCGGTGTCCCTGCAGATCCGGAATACTCTATTTCCCAGTTTCAGGCGCAGGAATCGTGGCCGTCGTCTCTCTGGAATTTTAAAAATAAACGTTGACGCTGTACGAACAGCCAGGCAGCAAGTGATGTAATGCGAGGCTCTCTGTGAGTGAAAGGGCCATTACTTACTCTGGAGCTGTGCTTTTAGGATACATGTCTGCTAACGGTATTGAGAACGTCCCAAAGACAATGAACGCATTCCAACCGTAGGGGTCTTCCACGGGTTGCATGGGCTTCTGTTAAAACACAAAGATGTTGTCACTTTCAGGCACGCCTATCCACGTACGTGTCAGCCTGGCGCAGTGGTGGTTCTCGCCTCGGAGTCAGAAGGTTGTGTGTTGCACTGATGAAGGCTCCGTCCTTCAGATGAAACGCTAAACCGAGGGGGAACGTTAAAGATCCCGCGGCGATATTTAAAAAAGAGAAAGGAGTTCCTCCCGCTGTCCCGGCCCACAAGTATCCCACCATTAAAATTAGTCATTCACTCCACGTGTGTTTGTGGAACTGGCTGCCGTGTTTTGGTCACAAAATACACATTCGCTCCAACTTTATGGTGCCAAAACCTGCGCCTAATACTCCGCGGAATTAGGTGAGCGGGGCAAGTCCCTCCACACCGTCCCAGGCACGGGGAATTATTTCCACGTGTAGGTGGCACAAAGCACTGGAAAATAGCATGCAGGGAAGTGATGAAGAAAAGCACAAATGTAATATAAATGCAATGATACTGTCACAACAGCCTTGTCTCGAAGAGCGTCCAGTTAATGCAAAAATTGCGAAGACTTCAGCACCCAGACAATCCAGGGATTATATTTTAACCTGATCACAGAATTGGCAATCCAATAGAAACTTCCATTTATCTTAGGACGTCCCAAAGGCACTGGATTTCATACTATCTTTTCTTTGCACTTTTACAAGCATTCGTACTGGTTTTACAACAGAGCTCAGGAAATACACAACAGAACAGAACAGACGGAATCAGTTTCAGCAGAGCAGTGAGGAAGAGGAGAAATCCATGGTTTGTGAGTGAATTGTGTTTTGTGGTGATTGTTGCCACTGGGAATAAACCTATTTATTCCTTGCAGCTGATGTAGGAGCAAACCTGGGAATAAACCTAATTATTCCCAGGCTCTTAGAAGCGTTGAGCGCACGTTATCACTTGCCACAGTCACAGGTGTTGTCGACTTTGAAACCTCTTCGGTCGTTTTGGGAACCCCCCGAGTAGTTAAAGTCATATCAAGAGACTTTCGATCAGGAAAGTACTTCAGACTATCTGATCTCGTTCCTCCACAAACCCAATACGTCATCACGTGTCTGGTGGCTTGCAATCTCACAAATGCTTGAGTATTGAAGTCCCACGTTGGGACTTTGAACTCAGTCTTCTGCGTTGTGGGCCCCCACACACACCCCCTCCACCTCACCACCCTGCCCGCCTACAAGTGCGCAGTCACTATACCTTGCAGTAAAATCCTGCGAAGCGCTTTGAGAAGACCCAACAACTTGATGACATGATAAGGTGCTGCATCAGCTGCAAGGGTTGCTGCTGTTCATTACCTTGTGGTTACTGTGAATGCAGCTGTAACATTATCTACGGTATCAGAGTTCAATGGAGGACTATTTCTCTGCAAAACCTTAAAAGTAGGGTGACTCTAATGGTCAGCCACAGCTTTAACTATCTCTATAGTCCAAAACCTGAAATATACAAATGTAATTTTGTTGTTGTTGTTGTTACAGCTGATTTGTAACAAGCAAAAAGCATATAGAGATGGGGATTTCCAGTGTGAGGGTTACAGAATTCTCAAGAGGAGGGAGGGGGGAAAGCGAGAAGGATTTTGGTCAGCAGGCAGTTAGTTTACAGGATGTTATTTAATGTCAGTGCATTCATTCGAAAGTTGTTTTCATGCACAATGGTGTCAACGTAATATATGGTAAATAATAATCCTTGCATTTGATATAGCGCCTTATCACGCCGTGGAGACGTCTCAAAGAGCTTCAAGAAGCTTCACAGTGGATTAACTTGTGTATTTTTGGGGCGAAACGTGGCAGCCAATTGTGCAAAGTCACGTCCCACAAACAGTTCTGGATTGAGCCACCATTTTTTGGGGGGAAGGATTATGACCCCTGGAAAGCGATCCACCAGTCGACTAACAACTGGGTTCCTACTTACTGCTAGGTAAAACAGAGGCGTGTGGAGTAAGGAAATCTGCCTAAGATTTTGACCCACCCGAGAATCGAACCCGTGCGCTCTCGCTTGCGAGGCGAGCGTGCTAACCAGTACGCTACTGGACTCCAAAATTCTAAGGGTCATAGAATTGTCTCTCGCACAACATCTAAGTAGCTTGGATTGTCATGGAAGGCGATTCTGTAAGCATAACGGCACAAAGAGTCCTCACAAGCAGTCAGTATACTGAGCCAGATCAGTAAAAAAAAGGCGCATTTTATTTTATTTTGGAAGAGCATATCTGTCATCTGAGCAAACAAAAGATTTGCTCGATTGGAGTTCACCGCTAGCTTTAATGCGACTTTTTGCACACAGCAATGTCCCACAAACAGCCACAAAATGAATGATATTTTTTTTCTCTCTCTCTAGAGGAACTATTGACCAGAAAGCAACACTCCCTTCAGTTTAATGTTCTGAACAGGCAGACAGGATCTTGGTTTAACATCTTATCCAAAGGGTGTCGCCAACGACAATTCAGCACCACCTCCTCCCCCCACCCTCTGCCCAAACCCCCTCCCCCCCATCACCCACCACGGTTGTCAGCTTATGAGCTGAAGGTCCGGATGTGGGGATTGCACCCACAACCTTTTGACCAACTGAGCCCAGGAAACATAATAATATTATTACAATATAGAATTACATTTGTGTTGGGCCTTTCATGTCGGGAGGATGTCCCAAGACGCAGCATAATAGTCATCCTTGCATTATAATATCCTTACATTGTCATAATGCTTACATTTGATACAGCGCATTATTGTAACATCAAAACGTCTCGAAGTACTCCACAGGATCTTTACAGTGCAACGACTGTGCATAGGTGTAGACAACATGCAACGATTAAGGTGACATTTGCTGAACTGATATATTTCGATTAGCATCCCCGCTCAATCCAACATTTTGGAGCTAAATAATTTGAGTGGTAGATTTTAATGATAGTTCAGAAAATCTATCCCAATCCGGAATCTCATTAAATCCAATAATATAATAATAATACTTGCGTTTGATATAGTGCCTTACTACGTTGTAGAGAGGTCTCAAAGTATTTTACAGGATATACTGTGAAGTGGAATAACTCTGTATTTCATCAGTGAAATAATAATGGTGATTTACCATCCACAAACTATGCAGTCAATTCACTTTACAGTATATTCTGTGAAGTCCTCTGGGACATCTCGAAGACGTGATAAGGCACTATATCAAATACTAAGATTATTATTATTATTAAGTACTTAGTTTTATGTTTCACATCACCGTCTTCCCTCTTGCAGAAGCTTAACTGACATTAGTTGCCCACTTCATCCCATCATAATCTGAACCCTTCAAACAACCGTAAAATATCCCATTGTTGGAAATATAATTGGAAACTTCGCCTAGAAAATACACAGTTCCAATACTTAATAATTATAAATAATAATCCTTGCATTTGATATAGCGCCCTATCACATCTTCTAGACGTCTCCAAGATCTTCACAGAATATACTGTAACGTGAATTGAGGGCGAAAGAGGTATGAGGTATAGAGGTATGTTTTGTGGGCGAAATGCGGCAGCCAATTGTGCACAGAAGTGTCCCACAAACGGTCATGGATTAAGTGACCAAATTATTATTTTTTAATAAAAAAATCGGCTAACAACCGCGTTCCTACTTACTGCTAGGTATACAGAGGCGCGTGGAGTGAGCAAACATGCTCAACGTTTCGCCCTGCCCGGGAATCAAACACAGATCCTCTCCCTTGCGAGGCAAGTGCTCTAACCGTTGACCAAATGTAGATCCCGCAAAGAGCATTGAGACACCTCGCCAATGTGATAAGGCGCTATTTCAAATGCAAGGATTATTATAATAAATCTACAAAACTGTGCGTTTGGCAAGTGTAGGAAATTCACCTCTAAACATCAATCTCCGAGGGTACCTGCAACTCAGCTGTCATAAGCTGACCCATGAAACTCTCCCAAATAAAGGACAGGATTTTCCTCGATCTAATCCACGTCAAGGTGTCGTAAAGTGAAGAGTGTAAGTTAGAGAGTAGCCTCGATAGACACGAGAGAGGAGGGATCGATCAAACACCATAGAACACTGAGATTACGTTCAAAAAAGGTGCATTGAGGCTTAAGCTGCAACAAGGGGAATACACGGCTGGGGATAGACCGATTAAAATCGCAACAGAATTAGGCGATACAGGACAGAAAGGTGCCGCGTTAGAGGGGAGGGCAAGGGGGAGGCAGTCTGAGTCGCAAGGCTGGAGACCACAGAAGACTACAGCTGATGACCAATGTCTGCAAACAGTGTAGTTTGCAGATCGCCACGGGTGATAAATGCTGTACCCGATGTTGGGTAACCTCAGCAGTTCATAAAACCTGAAAGCCTGCTCACCATTTGAGACGCTGATCTTTATCGAGAGGTGCGCCTCATCTTTCTCTGCATAACGTTAGTCAACTCTTAAGATTTCAAAAGTTTTTTTAAAAAAAACGTGTTGGAGGAAATCTATTCAAAGCCGGCGTCTCAATCGCCTTGCCCAGCCTTTGAAGCTCCACCAAGCAGCAGTCTTTTCTATTCATGCTGGTGGTTAAACTTTTGACTTCTATTAAATAAAGCAGAGAGAGAGCGATACGGCCAACAAGCAAACGCATGAACGTGAAATGCCTTCGTCATTGAAAGCGCTAATAAATTAACAGTCCAACGATTCAACTTAGCAAGTTTCAAAGCACCTGCATTTTGCATCGACAAACGATCAAGAAAAAGAGTAGTACAAAGCAAAGCTTAAGCATCTTTGCAAGATTACAGTTTCGAAGGCTTGCCTAAACTTTCGCAAAATACTTCCAAATTGCATACCTCTGTAGTGACAACTTCAACATATGGTAAGGCCATCTTGGAAATCACGTAAATACGACGTAGCAGTCAATCTCACCATATAAGCTATTTAAGAGTGACGTCTGTGTCAGGTGATCTGGAAGGCTTGGTTTTCAAAAAGCTACCGTGAGTAACATTGTCCCTTTGTGACTAGACTTTGCATTGCGAGTGA